AGGCATCATTGTGTTTTTTTGTTAGCTCTGATTTAGCTGTTTAGATTTGCACAGAAAGTGCCAGGACACACTGTTGTTTCCATAAGAAACAAACTGGGTTTTTATCCATTCGATTTTGCAGCGCACAATCACATCCTACTGCCATTATCTCCAATGATGACAGTGGTTATGACAGTCTGACTGTTTGTTGCATTAGTACAATAACTAAATATTGTGACACTGAGATGTTTGTCATAGTATGGGCTTGCGATACGCATACATAATCTACTGTGTCACGTCGGGCCAGACTGGTTTGTTGGATTATATACAATACAGCGTGAAAAGCTAACGTTATAGCTAGCAGGTTTCTCAATCCCAATGTAGTATTTAAAAAGGGTTCAGGTTCTCAGATTTACTTGGATGAGTACTGAAAATCACAGAAAATTTAAATCTTAACAGGTCAAACTCTACAGCTGCAGTAGTACATTTGGCCAGAGAAGCTACTCAGGCTAAATTAGTGCTTTTTGGCACGATGTTGGGCTGGACAGGTTTGTTGTGTTTAATGCCTTTCATTTTTAGGCCTCTTCCGGCAGCACATTGGATGGCATTAAATTCAAAAACAGGGTTTTTTTTTCTCATCTCAGGGTCAAACCAGGTGTAACCCTAACCTGCTTCATCAAGGGCAGTGAACAGATGAACACTATGACTCATTAGACAACACAATGATAATAGAGTTCTAGACCCCACTTCAGTTTTTTACCACTATGTCACTTGACCTTGGTTTTCGTTTGGGTTCTGTTTTTGCCCCTGAAATGATATAAATAGCATCTGTGCTCCTGTGGTGTTGAGCGAAAATGAACGTGACTCAGGTTTTAATGACCAGAAGTCCCCTCCCCAGCCAAGAGGGAAATATCGAGAAACATTACATGGACATTATAATTTATACCCCCCAAACACTGAAGTTCTAATAAATAGTAAATAATAAAGAATAGAGTAGATTAAAAAAATGTTTATATATAGTGTTAAAATAACAACAACCCGAAAGAAATGACAGGTAAATAACTCCATGGTCAAGGTTGGTCATGAGCTTGTGGTTTTTGTAAAAGGTAGAGCGAAGTACAGCCCTAGGTGATTGTCTGGGTACACAGGTGAACTTTGACTCAACTTGATGAGTAACAACTGTTGGGTGAGTGCAGTACTTTGGTGGAGCCGTGGGCAGTAAACGTTTTACTGCTCTTGTTCGTCTGTTTGTGCATGGAGGAAATATGTGAGCTCACTGACACGACACAGAACCCCCGAAACTACTGCTATAAAGAGGAGACTGAACTAAGGAAGTCTTAAGCACATCCTGCACTAGCCTGATGGTTTACCAGGTACTGTAAGGCTTTTCATGGAGTCTATCAATTTACAAATTTTGTAAAAAAATGGATTAGGTTGATATGTGAGTGATGGACAGGTGAACCATGCAGGGTGAACTCTCAAGATACATTATCCAATAAATGTTTCAGTGCAGGTGTTTGCATACAAACATACTTGATTCTTGTAGTGACTCGACAGTTTTGCTGCATCCCCACCACACAGAAGACGGTCCTTCAGCTCAATGCTACGTGTGAGGGGTTTTATAAAATAGGTCACATGGTTCCCTGCAGACTGTGACCTTATGACAAACTCCATTTGCTTTTTTGCTGATCTAATAATTACTAGTTGCCCAGGGCTCAATATTCTCTTTTGGCTCTTTGTGCGTACGCAACACAGATGGTCCTTCATGGCTTCAGTGCATCAGGGTTTGTAGTCCTGAATATTAACACATGTGAGCGTATTTACCTTTACCTTTACACATAAAGGGAGTCTGCTATGTCACCGCGCTGTGTGTCAAACTAGGCCATGCAGACTTATGTGTCAGCGCTCGGTTAGAGCCTCCACAGAGACTGCTCGTATGGAAAGTGAGGAAAATCCAGTTGAATCAGCACAACAGTTTGGGAGCGCGGGGGGGTAGCAGCAGTAGAGGCGGCGGCACGGAATCGGAGACGGAGGATGTCGCAAGGGAAGCCCTTAAAATAGCTGAGTGAGACAGAGATGTGGAGGATAGAGGAAAAGGGAGAAAGTGAGCGGGACAATTGTAGAAGGTCCGCAGAGACTGAGTCAGACTAAACAAACAGCAGAGGGGGCGGGGGAGCAGCAAAGACAGAGGGCTAGTGTTACAGAGTCCAAGGAAAAAAAAAAGTTTAGGGTTGACTAGGACTTAGACAGCGGTTTTGAGAGATGATCGACTTCTCCAGACAAGAATGCATGAAAATCACTACTGTGAGACTAAAAATCACTAAAAATCAAACTCTAAGAAACTTTTAAGTGAAATGCTGGACCTCTGGACATATTGCTTTTCTCCCTTGTCGATGCACATTCTGCCCTGCTGGTATAGTGTTGTTTTATGGTCATTTATCAACTCTTTCCAGTCTTCTGGTCGAGTGTCTGCAAAGCCTTCGTGCTAAGGCAGCACGTTCTTTTTGCAGAGACAAAAAGTATCATAATTTGGCAGCAATGCAGCCTCTGTAAAATCCTAAAATATCGATGTCATGGATGGCCATCTATGAACACCAGAAGGAATGGTTCAGCTTGCCTTAACCTATCAGTTAAAACTTATACTCAGTGTTGTCTTATTACATTTACTAAGAAAGTCGTGTTCCGTCGTTCCAACGCGCAGTGATACCACCTTGTTCGCACGGGAACTTCTTGTCACTTGGAGTGGACGCATAAGTCGTCACGCAGCACTATACGCAGAAGACGGCTTTGTGTACATTCACGTTGTTCACTACATATTGGATCGTGCTACATATGCTTTCTATCTGTTAGGGAACTTTTCTGTCCTTCATTAGGAACGGAACTCTGACCTAAGTCAAGGATCCGCTGTAGTAGGAAACAGTCCATGGTTAAGCATCACTTAGAGAGCTCTCTTCATCTGTTCTGTTCGCCAACTTGCTTGCCTACAACAACGTAACATCACTCTTTTCTTGTACAGTGGAACCTTGAGACACAAGCATAATTCGTTCCAGGACCGAGCTCGTAACTCGAGGTGCTCATATCTCGAATCATTTTTTCCCATAAGAAATCTTGGGCTGCTCCGAGTGCTCGGCCACCTAGCGTTGGCGTCTGTATCTCAAATCTTTACTCGTATCTTGAAGCAAAAATTAGCTCGAAGACTTGCTCGTATCTCATAATACTCGTATGTCGAGGAGCTCGTATCTTGAGGTTCGACTGTACTTATTGTATGGGCCTCGATGGAATCTGGGATTGAATTCACATCAAATGCTGTTAATGGTTTTTTTTCTTGAAATTGTAAATACAAATCTAAAAACAATGCTGCTCCTGAATGTCTTTGTCTTTTCAGACGACCTGCCCATTTAAAAAATATTTTATAACGTCAAGCCCCAGGTAATCGAACTATAGCATAAGTGTAGTTCCCAAAGCAATCCAATTCCATGCAATTCAATCAAACTGAAAAAAGACCAGAGGTTCCAAACTGGTAGAATGGAAACAGCTGCCTGCAGCTGTGATCAGCTGTGATTCCTTTTATCAGTGCAGAGCCGTATCTCTGCTGTTGCTGCTGCTGAGAATCATGATACAAGCAGCGATACAGTCATGGCTTCAAGGATACACCAAACTGCATTAGTTCCGTCGCTCTGCGAATACTACGATTGTAGGAAAGATGGCCTAAGGTAGCAGAGATGATTGAAGTCCATGAAGTCGAGTAAAGTTCAAACATGTTCCGGGGCATCACCCAAAAATGTTTTGCAACATCTGCAGACATGTCCCCGATGTACTGAAGAGAAAAATTAAACACTGAAATGCCCACTAAATTACACTTGAAAGAAGTTTTTTTCTGCTGCTCTGGTCCTCAGGCCAGATTTAAAAGTTCAGTGAAAGCAAACACAGGACGTCAGCAGTTTAAGTTTGTCACATCCACAGAGTATCATCTGAAGTAAGAGGTCTATTTAGCTGAAAAAAAAAACATTTCTGTATTCCCACCATGCCCTGGA